GCAGTCAGAGTACAAAACAACGCAGCTCAATTCGACAAGAACAGGAACCAAGCCCTCCCACAACTTTGGCAAGCAGGGCAAAACGTAACAAAGGGAAACCCATATAAAACAGAAAGCAATATTAGTTAAGTTCCAAGCAGACGTTCCCTTCAGCCAAAAAAGGTGGAAATAGAAAACGCAGCGAATTCAGAGCTGGATCCCCAAGCTCAACGAAAGGAAATGAGTAAGGATAAAAAGTGCTGGATTCAAGCAGCACGCAGCATGCCGAACCTACCATAGAAATCCACGCATCTAAAATCTGGAAACATAAAAAATAAACCGGAAGCCTAGATCTCCAAAAGAAAATCAGAAAGCAACCAAACCCCTAGCTAGATCCGGGTCAACATTAGAGTAACAGTTGAATATTACACTCTGGAAATCGCTGGGAGCAACACCAGGAAGGTAGAAGGCCCTCGATAAAGGAAGGAGGAGAAGGAACGATAGTAACGAGAAGACGATGCCACCGGGTTTCCCCATCTCAGCAGTGGAGGAGAAGCAGCTGAATTGCCCTTTCACGGGAAGCCACATGCGAACGAGGAACAGAGAAAGTTGAAAAAGAATCCGTGTTGGATTTTGGAACGAGAAGACGTTTCCACATCGCGCTCGGTACAGCGCGAGGATTATCTTATCTCCACCGCGCCTTCCGTCCGCCGATAATCCACTACAACGTGAAGCCGAGCAATATCCTCCTCGACGCCGGCGGCGAAGCAAAGGTGGCTGATTTTGGACTGATTCGATTGCTCGGGCCTCGACCGGAGCGACAGGGCACTGGGCAGAGCGTGTTTGGGTACGCGGCGCCGGAGCTTTCGTGCGGGAGCTTGAGGGTGAGTGAGAAATGTGATGTGTATGGATTCGGGGTAATGCTGTTAGAGATTGATAAAAGTAAAGGAAAAGAAAATGACAACGCCGACAACGAGAGAGAAGCAGTTTCGCACAAATGGGGGCATTTACGGCATTGTTTCCCTTCAAAACCACGGGAAGCAGGGGGAAGCAGCGGACCGCGGGAGGTTGCCAAAGGTCGCGGGAAGTAAGCCACAGGCAGCAAAAATTTTTCTAACGTGGTTCTACCGCAATGCCCCAAACGAGCATTTAACAATTTTTTTTAAAGCAGCGTAGCCGTGAAGCCGTCCCAATCCAAGCCTGAGTTCCTGCTCCGTCTTAAAAATTTTTGCTTCCCGCCGTTGCTTTTTGCGTCCTGAAAAGGCCTCCCACGTTTTCCTGCTTTCCGTGGTTCGGATGTGATAAAAATACGTAAATGTCATCGTTGTGAAAAGGTCCGTCGTCTTCGTCCTCATAAAGTTCTGCAATCCACGATTCTCCCCTCCAGTGAAACCACTACACCTTCTCATCTCCACCGTCCGATCATGAAGTCGCCAGTGTCACGCGAAATGCGAAAAATCTCTGGAGCACAGTCGTGCTCGCAACCGATGCAGAAGGGACAGGATGGATGTTTAGGGTTTGGAGATTTGGAGAGGGAGTGGGATTTAAAATCGGAAGGTCGACGATATATCGTCTGTAAGAAGTGACAAAGCAATTGAAAACGGCGTCTTTTTTGATCTCCGGAAGTCGAGTTGAAACGACGTCTTTCTGGATATCCAGCTGCCGACGGGAAAGATAATCCACTTCGGTGAGTTAGATCTGACACCGATCTTATCAGATCAATGCCGCTGACCACTTGTGATGCTAGATCGTCTAAGGTTTTTTTTTTTTTTTTTTTTGGGGACATTAGATCGTCTAAGATCATCTCTAACTGAACGCTAAATGAGTGTATGATCCGTCCATCCAATCGAACGCGGAAATTTCCGCCATTTAATTGCAGGTGAACAGTGCGATGCCAATATTGGCGTGGCACTGTTCACTCACGCCATTTTCTGCTCTCAACCGGAAAGAGAGAGCGATCGTTATCTTTCTAGAAACACTTAAAATGGCATTCGATTGGAGAATCACCACGCCATTTTGAAGTTTTGTGTTACTTTACCGTGAAAAATGAAGTTATCGGTTGGAGATGCCCTTGCCATAAAAAATAGGCTGAGGTGGATGAAGCCTGTCTGGTTGCCGGTTAGTGGAATCTAGTAAAGGAGACGAGAGCCCTCCCCTCATCTCCGCATATTCTTCTCTGTTCTTTTTTTTTTATTGGGACATTTAGGTCATTTAAGGCAAACTCACACACACAACGCATGCACAAAGACTCGAACCTTGTACCTCTTAGTTGGAAGCCTAAGCTCTCAACCAATAGGCCAAGGAGAGTTGTGTTCTTCTCTGTTCTCAAAGCAGAGAAGCTTGGCATCTAAGAGGAATGGCCTTTACCCATCAAGCAGATTATTTTTAAACTTTGATAGTACAATGTTAAAAACTAATAAATTATTTGTAAAAATTAGATCTGATTTTTTTATTGTTAGTTTGTTATCAATTAAAAAAAATTACATATAAGTTATTATCTTTTATATCAAGATATAAGGGTATTAATGTAAATTTTTAACATACAGCTGCAGCACAACAGATTAATAGTTATACTTCCCAAATAAATTATATTAATTTCTATACAACAATTTCAAAAAGCAGTTTTTTTTGCAACAACTTTACAACCTACTATACCAACAGCTGCAGCCGTCCCAAACTGACCCTAATGTAAATTTTTAACGGGGAAAATATCGGAAATTTTCCTTTGTAAGTATGGTGGGCCCGTGCTCGACTACAAAATATTCATAAAGATTTGTGAAACTACCCCACTAATTTTAAATAAATAATGCTTATCTTTACCAATTAAAAAAATTAAAATATTATAAATTTTGCAAGTTTAATTGTGCATTGTAGCCTTGTAGGGATAGGTGGCAGGTTAGATGGAGTGATTCAAATCTGATGCAGGATGGGTCTCTGTCATAGTGGTCAACATAAAGAAATTTCTCACATCTCACCCTGGTTCCAATCCCCTAATTGTCTAAAAAAAATTCGATGGAGGTTTGGACACGTGCAATTTTGACCTTAGAGTAAGGTTGATCCCATCTTGATAGGTTGGTACGTAGTTTTCACTATCAAAACAAACATTAAGAAAGCCTAGATTGATAGGTGGCATGTCTTCCAAAAATTATATTGATTCAGCGCTAATATTGATGCAATATATGAGTTGCAGGCTTCAAAAATTTTAATCAGGAACATTTGAACTCCGATTTCAACAAGTTATAGTCAAATTGAGCATCTCAAAGAGATGAGCTCAACGACACCAAATTTGGTCCAACCAAGCCCAAATGAGTCCAAATCAAATGATCAAAGCCTATTTGGAAGCTATAGAATATTAATCGGATGACCAAATGACATACCTCTCATTTTTCATTGAAAGGGAGGAGAGCAAGCAAGAGAAAGAAGAGAAGTGAGGAAGAGAAATTCATAAGCTCTTTTGCCACCAGATTCCTTGATCACCGCCCGGTCATCGACCGTTGCTGAACTTCTGCCCAGCCACATACCATCGCTGGACTTCAGCCAGACCATCGACCATTGACGAATTTCCTCCTACTATTGGCAGTCTCGACCATCAACCAGCCATCGACCATCAAGGCACTTCTGCCTGACAACCCACCATCGCCAGATTTTGTCCCAATAAGCGTCGAACTAATGTTCTACTACTGTCTGATTTTTGCCCAGCCTTCATCATTGATTTTACTCGTTAAAACCCTAGTATTTCTATTTCTATGTTAGTGTGTTAGGTATCCGTATAACATTAGGACGAAAAATTCTCTTACTTTATCGTCTCACAAATATTCTAGCCCGCAATAATAGGAATAAAATCTTTCTTTTTTTTATGTGGAGTTTATGCTTAGTCTAAATATAATTATCAATTATCAAATTAATTAAATATCTCTTAGATGGGAAAAAGTTCTAAAGCAAGAGGCCAAAAAAAAAAAGTTACCAAAAATAAAATTTAACCCAACAAATAGAATATACAAAATCTAAAAAAAATAATTAAAAAAAAATTGTTATAACAAATTAAAAATTTAAATGTCTTATACTAAATTTAAATTTATTTTAAGAGGATCAGAACATTTAGCAAAACAATTAATGCATGTCTCTTTAAAATTATCTCAAATCAATTCAGCAAGCCCTTTTCACAAGCCTAAAGCTAACCTATTTTATCCACTGTTTTAAAATTTGGACCGAACTGATATCAGTTCAATGGGGAACTGGCCAGGTAATCGGTCCGTTCAAATCCAAAAATCTCTTTAACATTAGACCGGTCAAAACCGGAGTGAAGTGTTTGTCCCACCAAATTTTTTATTCAAACATCACGTTTTAAAAAATTATGTTTATACTACCAAATTATTAAATAAGATATCTCCAACCTAAAAATACATTTTTCACTTTAAAATATCGTAAAATTTCAAAATGTGATATTTCATCTCAAATGGAACTCCATTTTTCTTTTTTCACACGCTTCTTTGCGAAGGTAATCATCTCTCTCTTATTTAGTTCACTTCTAGTGAAACTAAGTAGAGTACGAAGATAATCATTTTTTTAAGTTGATGAACAATGTGACACCAATACGTACGGTTCACCCACCGATTTTTGGCGTGAAATTTGGAGTTCAAATGCAGTGATTCATGAATGGCATACAATGACATGTAGTTCAGTTGGAAATGATCTAATAATAAATTCTAGCTATCATGAGCGCCCGAATTAAGCCTTGTATATAAATAAAAACCACTCGCTAACCTTACAAGTGAAGCAAATAGATAAATACCATTAATAACATATCAAAAAACGAAACTATTAATCTGAGACTATTCAATAATCCATATGCACATAACTTGAAAGAACCTATAGATAATCACAAAAAGATACTAATTATGTCCACATGATCTCATTCCGCGTATAGCTCAGACTCACCAACAAGAAGAAAAAAAAAACTGAATTCCAAACAAAAGATGTAAATGTTGAACCCACAGATAGTATCAAGATTACAAATATAGCTAATGTTGCAGGCAGGGAGTTTGAGGAGTGACATGCCCGCTTGCACTTCCTTGTGTATTGATGCAATAAGATTGAAGACGAATATTGGCTTGTTGAGGAGTAAAGCTCACTTCACTCATGGTGATGTCGCGGCACGGCATGCTCGAGCTGCAAGCCAGTTTGATTGCCACATCACTGACTGAGCTTCCTTGCAAACCCAGATAGGATACCTCGCTTATCGCCACATTTCCCGTCTTTGATCATCATCATCAAATTCAAATGAACAAAAAAGTTTCATTGTTAGAGGCTAATTAATATGAGGATATAAAGGCTTCATTTGGGACGACTTTATTACCTCTTCTTAAAGCAGCTTTCAAGTTAAAAAATTTAAAATTTTGTACTAAAAAGCTGATTTAAGAAGCAGTAAGAAAGATGTCCCAAACGAAGCCAAAGTTAGTTGTATAGTGCTCACCTTATTTGGACAGTTTAGTTCGGGGCAGTAGTACTGATCGATGACTATGACACCTGCTTTAACTGAAGTGAAGTTGATGTTCTCATAGGAGATAGACTTGGCATGACCAGCCCCACCCTATCAAATGCACAATTACAGGAAATTAGCATTTATTGTGCATGAGTTTAAGGCTTCGTTTGGGAGGGCTTTCTTATTGCTTCTTGAAGCAGCTTTTCAATACATAAATAAAAGTTATACTATGTTAATTGCTTATAGACTTGGCTTTCTTATTGCTTCTTGAAGCAGCTTTTATTTTTTGTATTAAAAAGCTGCTTTAAGAAACAGTAAAAAAGTCGTCCCAAATAAAGCCTAAGAGAGAACTATGATTTGGTTCGGACGGACGATACTGGATTAGCATATTAGTAGGTGAGCTTAACTTATAACTTTTGCAATATAGCAAGTAACATTAGAAGAGTGATTAAGTTATACTCTGTTAATTTAAAACAAAAAAAAATTATTGTTTGTTTGTGATTTTGTCTACCTGCCATGTCTTAATCCTTATACCAGTAAGGGTGTTAAAAATGTGGCTGTTGGAGATATGAATTCCCTCAACATTGTCTTCAACGCCATTTTTTCCAAGGCTTCCAATGCTGCACATGAATTAAAACAATAACGTTATGTATTTTTCTCTTTAGCCATGCATGAGCCTAAAATACCTACATTAAACAAATTTCATTAGAAATTTTATGACGAACCTTATTCCATGACCAGGCCCGCAAGTAATATGGCTCACATTAATATCATAGCTACGTGGCCCGATTGCGATGCAGTCATCTCCTGAAGATGAGTAAACTTTCATTTTTATATGATATATGATAATTAAAAATTCAAAATATGGATGGAGGCAAGGATGTACAATCAACAATGTAAATGTAAGAAATTTGTATAAGGCATACCTACTCCAATTGTGGAGTATGAGATGGTGCCATGCTGGGAATCAGAGATAAGAATTCCATCAGTATTTGGCGAGTCCTCAGGAGAAGTGATTTTGAGACCGCTCAGCGTTACATAATCGCTTTTGTACACCACTAAATGCTTTCCAGGGCTGTCCTTTAGGTTAAGATTCTTCACTCTAAGATAATCACATCCCATAAACTCCATTATCTAATGTTATTATCAGAATTTTTTGCATTCAAAAGAGGACAAAGTAAACGAATTCTGTTAAAAATAAATCAATAGATGACAATCAAGCACACTGGAAATATTGATATATTCATACTTACATATGGTGCATCCTTGCATTGCTGTCAGCAAAAAACATGAGAAGAAAATAGAAACTAGTTAAGCAAAGATTTGAAGGCTAATCACAAATAATTAATTGCATAATTAATATCATAAATGAATTTGCTAATAATAGCTAGCTCAGCTTACATTTTTGGACAAGCAATCCCACCATATGGAGCCTTTGCCATCTATTAAACCATTACCGAGCACAGTTATTTTTGGTATGTTTTTGAATACGATCCACGTATCGATTTGATTTGTCCACAATCTGTTTGGGGCCACAAGTCCTCCACTGATCTGCTTGTCAATTCAAAATTTCGATTGATTTAGATATAATGACTGTCTTTCTAAAGATAATATTTACCCAAATAGTAGAATGATCAAAAGTAACATAATTACCAAAAATTTCAAGCTAGAACTACACGGCCCTTCAAATATTATTTTGCTTAGCAAATAGTTCTTTCCTCCTTTGCCTGTCACAACAAAATATGGATTTCTAGGATCTGCACAGGCATCTTTCCAAGCATTCAAAAAAGCCTTTATTGAGAACAAACTAATTTGTTAGAAAAATATTTGCATGTTTTATTAAAAATATAAAACAAAAGAAACTTAAGAAGAAGAAGAAGAAGAATGCATAAATTTAAAGAAACAATTTACAAAATTTATATTAGTGTCATCTGTCTTGCCATCTCCTCTTGCTCCGTATGTAATCACATTATAAACTGGGGAAGCTCCAGCAATAACCGCAACCATCAAATATAAAAGTATGATTGATACAAATTCCTACACAAATAATTTAAAAATAATTAATCTGCAATGCAAATATATTGCCATTTCTAACATTTCAAGGAAGATAATAGCAACCAAAAAAGGGTAATGAAAATACCAATTTTTTCAAGGTGTTAAAACTCTACATTGTGTTGATTTTGAATGTGAAAGAGGAGCACTATAAATCTTATAATTAAATTTTAAGAGGTTGTTAGGTAGCAGGCTTTAAGCAGCATTTAAACTAAAATTTTATTTTGGACGGCCTTTTTTTCTTCTAAATCAACTTTTTAGTAAAAAAAAACTTTTTAGTAAAAAATTAAAAATTTTATATTAGAAAGATGTTTTAAGAAGCAACAAGAAAGCCATCTCAAACGAAGTCAAAATAATGCCAAACAATTAAAATGGTAATTTTAAATCATACAAAATCTTAACATTTTTTCTCTTCTATTGTCTTAAATCTCAAATTTAGTAAATCCTATCATTTGCCTAATTTATTTTAGACGTTATGATGACTCTTTTGTATTCTCTAAATTAGCCAACACCTATATTCTCTTCTAAAAATTCCTTTCAGGTGATTGTTTTGTCATCGAGAAATTCTTAAGAAAAGAAGAAAAGTTATAGAAAGCGAAGATAGATAGATGTCTAACCATTGTTTTCACTCGTATATATCAACACCAAGATAGATAGAACCTTGGATTCTCAGGCACCTTGTAATATCAAAATC